GGGGGGGGGGGGGGGAAAGGGTAAGGAGGAGAAAGATAGGGTATGGGGGGTGGTGGAGACTGATTTTACTCTTCTCCTGTCCCAGCAAAACACAGACCATTTTCAGTAGGGGGAGGGGCTGATTACAACATTTTGGTGGAGTTGGTCATCACTATGCCCCTGGGATGGGACGCATTCCTTCTCCCCTTCCGCTTGGAGGATCCCCTTGATGGACAAGGTTTTTCCCAACATATTCCCCCATTGTAAATGACGTGGGAGCTCATTTTCTAAATCGGTCACCATCCGGTTGCTGCTGTTGAGCAGGCCGCCCACCGCCGATTCATTTTATACGGCGCTTGGCCTCCTAAATTTTCGGAGAGGCTCAAAACAGGTTCTCCTGTTGCCTTGGGCCATATACTGGTGGTTTTTAAGGCCTTCCAAAATCCAGTCCGTAATTGATGTCGTTTTCCTTCCAAAGATAGCGCTTGGCCTAGTGGATGAGGACCTAGCACCTCCCTCATTTTTCTACGTACCTCCTCCTTGGCTTGTGATGCGCTAACCTCACACCCTGCATGACGTCCTGTAGTAACAGGCGCCGATCAGAGTAATTGGGGGCGTTGCCGAGGATTTTTGGCCGGGGGTTGAATCACCCGGACGGAACGGGGGATTCTCGCTTCGTTCTGAGGCTGTCCCAAAGTTCAGGCCAACATAGACGGAAAAATGGAGATACAAGGGAATTCAAGGGGTAACCAGGACCGACGCGCGGGGTATAATTCAAAATTTCTGCTCAGCCGAGGGGGGGGCTGAGGGCGGCGCGCGACTAGGCCGACTACTGACAACCCGAAAGACAAAAGGAAAAACGGGAAGCGAAGAGCGAAATTTACCGCTTCTCTCGCGCTAGGTTCACGCTAACTCTATGGTAGGAACCCCGAGATATGGAGCATCTAGGCTTCCAAGTCGGATTCATTGAGTCCGCGAGTTCGGTTAGGTGCAACGTCGTCCGATTCGGATGAGCTTGGGGGGACCCAGGTTCAGAAACTCGCTGGGAGGGCGCCCGCACTGCGAGAGAGCTCTGGGAACCTGGCCGCACCTTCGTACCCCAGAACCAGCCTCCGCCAGGAGCACGAGTCCCCTTGCCAACACCAGCGACAGTTAAACTGGGGTCGCCACGTGGCGTGGGCCGCCGACCAAGGCAGCATTGTCAAACCGGTGTACGACAAGATTAGGGGAGGGGAGGAAAACTGATCAATCAGAACAAACCCACTCCCCCCTACATGACAGGCCTTAGATGGGTGGTGGAAGTGAACCCAGTCGGTCCGCAACAGCTCACTCCTTACTTCCGCATCGCAGTACACACTGTCTTCGTCTGCAGTCGGGAAGGGCGAACCGTCACTGTGGCGGATCGACAAGAGGGTTGAGCACAGACAGTTACCTGCACTCACGTTTAACTGGTGAATCTCGACTCCATACAAATATCAATCGGTCTCACCCCACTCCCTCCTTCCAAACCAAAATGCAAGTTCAGGGACACAACGCCATTAGTCACAAACTTACTACTAGGACAAAATGGCTATGGCTGAGTAGCAGGGAGATCGGGCGACGCGTGAAGATGCATGCGACCGATGTCACTGGTTGTCGACGCCCCACCGGACGGAACACCAGACCAACAGACACGTGGCACTTGCATGCGAGAGGGGAGGGAGGGAAGAGTCAGCGATGATCCCCGCGCTCACACGTGGCGCCCCGATCAGCAGGGGTTGGGGAAGAGAGGGACTTCAACACACTCATGCATTCAGGCAGAAGTTTGACACCCCTGTGCTCCCCTCAGAGTTGCGCTTGCAGGCCCCTCACACAAACATGACCTCAATCCACATCTATACATCCATCTATCTTGGACAGCGAGACATTCAGTATCCATAGACCCTCATAACCAACGTCATGCATGTGACTGAGTATTCACACTCGTGACACTGCACACACCACACTTGGACAAAGCAGCAATGGAGACAAAAGCAAATCCTTCGCTATTCAAAATTCCAGTCCGGCTGACCTCCCTCAGGCACAGCCCCCAACCGATCTGAACATCAACCAACCATAGCCACAAGGCCGTGCCGCTGGCAGTATTCAATCTCCACCACCGCTCCGCCCCTCCGACCACCTCACCCCAACTCTAGAGCTAATTCCACCCCACGTCGTCACCCCGCCCGTCATTTGGGCATGTCGAGCCTGTTCAACGTCGTGGTCTTCGCGCATAGCTCGCGCAACATTGCAGCCGAGATCAAAGAGAGGGAGAGGAAGGGGCTGCGAGGATTTATAGCGCGGACCAAAAAAGGAAGGAGATTCCAGAAGGATCGAGAGAGGCAGAATGACCGATAGTTCCGTTTAATTGGGTTGGTCGTTCGTGCTGCGCGCGCAATTCAATCTTGCGGCATTGATCCGACCATCCCAACTAAGCGACCAATCATTTGTGCCGATAGGTAAGGGGAGGATCGGACTCAGAGTTGGGGGGAGACGAAGAGGTGAGCCCGGAGGAGTGCTCTAGCAAGAAGGGAAGATGGTGAGTAGGTGCAGAGCGGGAAGCGAGTTTAGCATGCAAAAAATCAAAATGGTCGCGCGCGCCTTAACACGAAGGAAATTGAATGCCGACAACAATAATTCCTAACTGTTTCTTGGATTTCTCCGTGCGGTCACTAACCGTCCGCGCGGAGAACCCACAAGGACCAGGGCAATTCCGAAAGATGCATGCCTTTAGTCCCTCACAATTGAAAAATGGACCCTGCTTTTCTTGATCAACTAAAATCCTGGCTTTGGGGCCTACTTCGGATTTTACTCCGAAGGGTACGTGAAGCCGCTACGTACGGATCCTAGCTTATCACAGGCTGCTTGCTGCCCTTCTCCAGCCCGACTTCCCTTGTTGTTGTCTTTTTGTATTTTCTAGAGACGGAATTTTGGGTGTCCTCCTTTCCTTGTTATCCAAGCCCCCTTCTGCAGAGACCCAGGGCTACAAACCAATTATCTGTCCGAAGTTTAATTTTCTGCTTTCTTACGCGTTCCCTTTTTTTTGTGCATTTGCTCCTTTCACTTTTACCACTTTCCATTCCATTGCCCCGTTATTGTTGTCACGCTTTTGCACTTGTTTGAAGTTGTTTCCCCTTGGTTCAACTGGGAGGACTTGTCTGTCGTGTTCTGAGTTCTCTGCTGGGTTATTAATCAGGTCCTTCAAATCTTTTTGGGGCACCCATACAGCATGAGGATGCAATGCCCATTCAGGTTCCCTTTCCATTCATCACATTCAACTTTCGAACACCCCAAACCAAAAATCGGGTCTGCGCCACAGGTTGGGAAGGGGGCCAAGAGAGGGGGGGGGGTAGGGGTGTGTGTGTTTGTCCGTGTGTTTTTGTGTACTTGTTTTTTGAATCCCCTTTTTCTGTTAGACTCAGAGCGAACTTTTGAAGCGAACCTACCCATTTTGAAGTAATAGTTCTCAGTTGCCTGGACTGTGCCAAAGCTGTCCACTGCATACATGGAGAAGGTATGGTATCCTTCAGGCAGGTTTCCTCGTTTAAAGTTGAATTCCCCCTGAGATGTCCAGTTGTTTGAGCAATTCTGCCATTGAAAGCCATAATACTTCGTCAACTGGAAGTCTGCCGCTGTTTCTTGCACAGTGCGCATCATGATGGATTGCAAATCCTCCTCGAACCCTGAACCTCTCACACTGTGGCGGCAGAAATAAGCCATGCTAGGAGCAGCGTTCCATGAAAGTGTGAACCCAGAGTTCTGGTTTGTGTACGCGACAAGCCTTCCCTTGTGGTCTGTTGCCATCATGGGTGTTCGGTTTATCGGACTCGTCCACCAGATAGCACCTGTCATTGACAAAATTGAGGGGCGCAGGGGGGCAGCAAGACATCCATGCAAGCCAACCAGTCAGCCAGCAAGGCACAGAGACGGCACAGAAACGGCGAGGGCGAAGCTATCAGGATCCTATCAGATAACAACAAAAAAACAGTTCAAAAACTGGCATCCATAGACATGTCATCCACAATTTTGGACCCCTATGCCAGTGACTGGCTGCCTCAAACAAGAGGACGGCAAGTAAGCAAAGCACCCTCTCAGATTACATTTCATCGATTTTGGGCTGCTCACTTGGTTTTCGGGGGCCACTTTTTCCATGTTTGTGCTAAGTGAGGAAGGACCTGGCCCTTTCCATGACCACGTTCAGGCTTTTTTTGCATAGACATGGCACTAATGGGGCCTGCCCATGTGGTGGTTGAAAGCACCCCCCTTTTTTAAACCACCACATGGGCCTGCCCATTAGTAAAAAATGGCATCCCCCTTTCTTAAACCGCCACACGGGCCTGCCCATGTGGTGGTTCAGAAGCATTAGTGATTGTTTCCGGGGGCCACTTTTTCCATGTTTGTGCTAAGTGAGCAAGGACCTGGCCCTTTCCATGACCACATTCAGGCTTGTGATCACGCCTTTGCTTAGGGCCGCTTGGCATATTTTCATGGGCGGCCTTCCTGGGCTCGCCAAGGCCTGAAGCCTCACACAGCCCATGTGGCTTATTCGCACACATGTAACTGTTATTCAGCAGCTGATGAGTTTCAAATTTCAATCCTGATGGATATACAATAATGTTAGGGCTACCCCCTTTAAAAAAATTGAAAAAAAAAAGAGGAGGTTAGACCATTTGCTAAAGAAGAAAATGAGTTGCAGCAACTTCACTATTGCATAATTCTACATGGTGTAACAAAACAACCAAAAAGATCTCCATGCAGACAACAAATCGTTATAATTATGAAAAGATTGTCGGTATCTAGAACAAATTTGGCAGCTGCTATGTCAGCAAGAGTTGTAGTTAAAGTGTCTTTCGCGACATCCATTAAAATTGGAACGATACAGGGAAGATTAGCATGCCCCTGTGCAAGTGTGACGCACATAAACCGAGAAATGGTGCAAAAAAAAAAAAAAGGGAAAAAAAAGGGAATTGTAGTCCGAGAATTGTCATCACAGGGGCCAGTACTTGCTTTCGACTCTCACCTCTTGGTGTTAATAGTGGAACAACACAGCAAAAACAAACACAGCAATGCATGCACAGCGAAGTCGGATAGGTGCTCATCTGAGTGTGTCCGTGCTAACAAACTCAATAACTCTCTCCTACTGAGCCAGATTTTTCAGGGAGGAGTAAGGAGTGTTGGCAGAATCTGAAGGGCGCCTATTTACCCATACAAGATCGATGGAATTGGTTCCAGGAAAGCTACTCTGCTTTATCACAAACGGTGGCTAGAATCTCAAGGAACTTAGCGTCCGATAGGAAACAAAGGAAACAAGCGTTGGAGACTGCCTTGAAGATTGCAGAGATTMATCTTATTGATAATCCCTCATCTGTACTTTACACAGACATTTTTGAAAAAGCGAGAGAGGAACTTACCATGTGGAGATGGTGGGAACTAAAGGGACTTCAAATAAGAGCCAGAATGACCGAATATGAGCTAAGTGAGTCCATGTCGAAACACTTCTTCGCAAGAATCAAAGCAAACTCCAGAGCTAACGCGATAGAAGGGTTGAACACTCTCTCAAATCCAAATGAAACCGTCACAGATAATAGCGAAGGGATGTTGAACATAGCCAAGGAATTCTACGAAGAGCTCTATCACACTAAGACCCCTATGCCTACTCCGCCAAGCAGCAGAGAAGCACGAACTAGGATGCTGCAATACCTGGAACGGACGATATCTCAGGAACAAGCAGAAGCCCTGGATAAGCCCATCACCATTGAGGAATTGCATTTTGCAGTCCAAAATATGAATAATAACAAGTCCCCAGGAATCGACGGCCTGACAAAAGAATTTTGGGTAAAGTTTTGGCCACTCTTAAGGGGTGATCTGATAAATTTCTATAACGACAGCTGGCACAAAGGGGGATTGGGAAACCTATTGAGTAGCAGTGTGGTCACTTTGCTATACAAAAAAGGGGAAAGAGAAGACATCAGGAATTATAGACCCATCTCGCTCCTAACGCTTCCCTACAAGATCTTAGCCAAAACTCTAGCCTTTCGAATCCTGGATCTGACGGACAAATGCTTCCATATAGATCAAACAGGCTTTATCCCTGGGACATACATTCGAAGCGGCCAATAAAGTCAGAGAAAAAAGGATAAACGCAACAATTCTTTTCTTTGATTTTGAAAAGGCTTATGACCCGGTCAACTGGGCCTTTCTCAATGCAAGCATGAAAAAGATGGGAGTGGGCCCGAATTTTAGAAAGTGGGTGCGTATCCTATATAATGATGCCATAGGGTGTGTTCAAGTCAATGGTCTGCTTTCGGACTGCTATCCAATATCTCGGTCAGTTCGACAAGGGGACCCACTAGCTCCCCCAATCTTCCTCTTCGTGATGGAAGCAATTGCGTCATTCCTACGCAAAGACCCATCTATTCACAGACTACCAGAGGTTAATGTAGGCACAGCCCACCACTTAAAGTTCCCGACAGTAATAATGTTTGCTGACGACCTCACGGTCCTCATAAGAGCTTCAGACTCGTCGTTCAGTGCGCTAGTAAGAGCAATGGAGGCATTCAGACTGGCATCAGAAATGAAGATTAATTGGAAAAAGACAATTGGATGGTGGCTATCRGRGGAVGACGCTCCCCAACTYCAAGGCCCGGARGCARAAATGACAYGGGAGTCACCACAGACTCCTACGAGGTATTTAGGCATCTTGTTGACGAAGGACGGCTTTGCCCCTCAGATGGCTCAAAATGTACTAGTAAAACAAATTAACAAACTRGGTAGGTGGGGCAACACATTCACATCGTTGYTKGGTCGGGCACTAGCAATCAACACATCGAYTTTCTCAATGATGTGGTATATTGCATCAATTTGGACTGTTCCAGATCATTCAATCAAGGAACTTAACCGTAAAGCCAGGGCCTACTTGTGGTCGGGCGACCCCAACAAAGAGAACTGCATACCAAAGATAGCTTGGCACTACATCACAAGGAAACCAGCCAAAGGAGGCCTAGGTATCATAGACCCCAAGCAGGAAACCAAAGCCTTACAAGTTAAATGGGTGATCAAACTACTGACAAAACCAGGCACAGCGTGGAATAAACTGGCTTTGGATAGCATCAGGGGCCTAGCACCAATATCCACGCCAGCAAACATGTCCGGTCTGTTCTGGGTAATGTCCAAAGATTGGATTCTGAATACAGGATGCAGAAATCAACGAAGAGGAACTGACCCAAACGTAGCCAGGCCTCCTGTACCCTATTGGATTGCACTGCTACGGACATGGCGGGAAGTCATGCCGAAAAAGGTGGGTAAACCCAAATCCAAAGACGAAGTTCTGAGGCAATGTTTAGTAATCCGTGGGTTAGAGACGAAGGTGACCACCAATTATCCCTTAACCCTAGAGGAAGGAGATGGTTATCGTGGATCAAACATGGTGTTTGGAAAGTGAGCCATCTGTGGAATGACAATAGAAAGGACTGGGTGACAGAACAGGAACTTGCCTCCCAGCTGAAAGGCTGTCACCGGCAAGATGAGAATCTACAATCTATTATCAACAGCTTCCCAGAAGGTTGGAAGGATCTGTTGTCTGAAGTCTCAACCTGGAAATCGGGCGCATGGGGAGTGAGGATACAGGAATTAACTCCATCTAGGGCCTATCAATTCTCCCATAAACAGCAAGGATCGGATACCCTGGCGGTGTTCACTTCTTTCCCAATTACCTCCTSGACGCAAGGCCTTCCATCAATCCTGAATCAAGAGGTAGAAAGAACAGTCCTGAACCCCTTTGTACTAAGAAAAGTAAGAGTGCTGGGATCATGGCCAAAAACAATATTTAGAGCAGATACGGCTATTCAAGATTTGGAATTTGACCCAKCAGAGTGGGCTTGGATACCTGAMAGAACCAGAAGTCCCAAAACGTATATCCCCATTCAGGAATACACTGTTAAACTGGGGTACAATCTACTCCTCAAAACAAAAGACCCGGATCCGACGATCAAGAACAGATGGCAGAAGTTAATAGGCCAAGATGCCAGTCAKATCTCACAAATACCATGGARAAAATTCAAGACAATTCGTCCAGTCAAAATTAGGAGCCTCCAATGGCTCATCACATATGTAGCTCTGCCAGTTAACCAGTGGTTACATATCAGAAGAAAGAAGAACGACCCTAACAGCTCAGAGCTATGCACGGTCTGTTCACAAAATGAACCTGAAGATATATTACATTGTCTGATACGCTGTACAGAGGCGACCGAATATTGGGCGAGAGCCTCGGAGCTATGGGACTCCCTCTTCCCGATTCCCCTCCCCGAACATCCTGTCCAACTCCTATGGACTAACATCCCTGCCCAATTTCATAAGTCAGAGAAAATATGGTTTGGAATGATCCGAAAGACGACGCTGTGGTCCATCTGGAAGGAAAGGTGCTGCAGAACTATTGAGGGACTCTCGACTCCAAGGGAGAAGGTATGGGCGGAGACAAGGACCCTGATCCAGGCTGAGATTCTTTGCAAATGGCATAAGACCAGACAATCTATGCCGGATGACGTAGAGCAACAGGAAAAAATCAAGGCAAACTTTACTAAGGTGTGGCTTGCAAGGGGCAAAGTGGCGGAGATAATCGACTCTCGCATAAGGTGGAAGGACTGGCACAATTCAGAAACAKGGAGGAGGAGGCAGAGTTCTCAGTCAGCAGAAGGACCAGCTCTATCACAGGTCACATAATAAGTGGAGCCTGGAATCAGATACTGTAGCTTTCATGGCGTCCTGTTCTTTCTTGTTTTTATYGTGTATACGACAGGCTTAAGCAGTAGTCCTGAGAGGTAAGAAGAAGGAAAGGCAAGCTGACAGT